GCAGATACCGAGCAACACCACCATCTGCAAGTTCCCTTTCAAACCATACATCATTCTGAGGTGGAAATATTTTGCTGTTTCTAGCTAGCTCACTTTCTTGGCAGTCCCTTCCTGCCAGTGCTCTGGATGTCCCTACGTGCCAAAGGCTGTAGTGGTTCAAGGAAGAAGTCCACTTCTGTTCTTCTCAGGGGGCATTTAAGGATAGACAATAAATGCAGTTCCACAGGTTGCACTCACGTCATGCGAAAAATTTAGAAATGAATTGGCAGATAATTGTGAAAATGCAAGAATATAAAAAGAACACGAGTAGATACCGTTAAAGGATAAAAATGGTGAACTAATAATGGGGAATAAGGAAATGACAAACTTTAAACAAGTATTTTCTGTCTATCTGAAAATGCTGTATCTTGTCTGATCTTGGAAGCTAAGCAGACTCCTGCCTGTTTAGTACTTGGATGGAAATACCAGGTGCAGTAGGCTTTGGGGTACACGGTGGCTCAGTGGTTAGCACTGCTACCTCACAGCACCGGGGACCCGGGTTCGATTCCACCCTCTGGCGACTGTGTGGAGTTTGCATGTTCTCCCCATGTCTGTGTGGGTTTCCTCCGGGTGCTCCGGTTTCCTCCCACAGTCCAAAGACGTGCAGGCTAGGTGGATTGGCCATGCTAAATTGGCCGTAGTATTCAGGGATATGTAGATTAGGTGGATTATAGAGGGATGGGTCTGGGTGGGGTGCTCTGAAGGTTTGTTGTGTACTTATTGGGCCGAAAGGCCTGTTTCCACGCTGTAAGGATTCTATGAAGTACATATACAATGTATTCGAAGAACGATAGCAAAGCAGGGGTGGGGAGAGAGTGAGGGAGGAACTTGGAGCAACCGTAAGCACTATATCAAAAATACTGGGAAAACTATTTTTGAACTGAAGACTGACAAGTCCTCTAGACCTGATCGTCTGCACCATGAGGAAGAAGTGTCTGCAGATGTAGTAGTTGTACTGGTTTTAGTCTTCCAAAATTCCCTAGATTCTGGAAACGTCCCAATTGATTGAATAGCCTCAAATTATCTAATTCAACTGGAGGGAGTCAGAAAGAAAGAAACTACAGACCAGTTAAGTCAACATCTATCATAGTGGAAATCCTGGAATCTACTATTTAAAAAAGTGTCACCAGGCTCTTACCAGAGTCAGCATGGTTTTCTGAAAGAGAAGTAATACTTAACTAATTTATGGGATTCTGAGGAAGTAACAAACAATTTGGATAAAGGAGAACCTGTGTATGGGCTGTACTGAGATTTCCAGAAGGCATTTTGATAAAGTACCGTGGTAAAGTTTACTACACGAATAAGAGCTCATGCTGCAGGTGGTCACGCGCTTGGATGAATATAGAGGATCAGTTAGCCTGAAGGATTGAAGAATACGCGTAAAAGAGTCACTTTTGAGTTGGCAAAATGTAACAAATGGAGTGCCACAAGGATCAGTGCTGGTGCTTCATTTATTTACAGTGACCTAGAAGAAGAGTGGACACCTATCTATATGTCTTTGCAGATCTGATAAGTGAGTGAACAAAATATTGGCAGATTGAGTAAAATATAAGAAAATGTGAACTTCAGCAGGAAGAGTAGAAAAGCAGCATCTTATTTAAATGGAGAAATGGTGGAACTTTGTGATTTATGTGAAGACATCCAAATTCCTTTGTACCTCTTATGCAGGGTACAGCAAGTGATCAAGAAAGCAAATGAAATGCCATTTATTGCAAGGAAGTGGAACAGGAAAATAGTCATGTTTTGTTGTGGTTGTATGGGGCTTTGTGCAACAATGTCTGGAGTAATGTGATGCCGAGGTGTTGGACTGGGATGGACAAAGCCAGAAGTTACACGACACCAGGTTATAATCCAGCAGGTTTATTTGAAATCACAAGCTTTTGGAATGTTGCTCCTTCAGGTGAAATGACACCTATTGAAACAATAAGTTCTTAAGGGGGCCGGATTGGATGGATACTTAAAGGATGTTTCCCCTGTTGGCGGAAGCTAGAACAAGACACAGTTTAACAATTAAACTTCTCCCATTTAAGATGGTGATAACCTTTTTTTTTAATCTGGGAGGTTGGTGAGCCTTTGGAACTTTTCTCCCAGACAGTGGCAGAAGCAGAGACATTGAATACTTTTAAGGTCAGATATATTTACACCCTTCACTAACAAAGGATTCTAAGGTTATCAGGGTAGCGCGGAATATGTAGTTAAGGCCAGAATCAGATCGGCCATGATCTTACTGAATGGTCATGATGTGGAAGTGCCTGTGTTGGACAGGGGTGGACAAGGTCAGC